ACTTGAGGAAATTAAGACAAGAAAAAGAGAGCAATATTATAATAGTGGAGCACTTTATCAGTTGCAGCACCAACAATGATCAGGAAACTAATTTACAAAAATGTCCAGAATGTTTGGAAGGCACAATACTAAATAGTGGCTGCATTATAGAAAGAGAAATGGGAGAGATATATATAGTACCATACCTCAACACAAGAAAGTCTACTAGAAGAACATGAAATTTAAAAATCACCAATTCTAGGTCAGCACTTGAAAAAAGGATTAAAGATATGATTTACAGAGATCAAAGTCCTTTCAAGATCCATAACAATAGAATAAGTCACGTGGACATTGAAACCTGGGAAGAATTCATTATTAGAGAAAATATTAAAGAAGACATATATCAAGACTATTTGATAGCTATACTGCAACGTAATCTCAAATCTAAAGAAAAGCTAACCTTCTATTCTGATGGATCACTTATTAATCATAGAAAAGAATAAATAAAAATGGGAGCAGCTTGGATTCAGATCGGTAAAAATGGAAAGAAAAGCAAGTTCCAAGCAAGAGTAAACAAGTGGTCCTCATTTACAAAAGTAGAATTGGTAGCAATCATAACAATACTTCTAGTAGTTCCTATTGAAAGCATGATAGAAATCTTTACAGACAGTCAGGCATATATTTCTAAGTGGAAATCTTTAGAAAAAGAAGATCCAAGAAGGACACACAAGAGATGGCTCAAAGAAAAAACTGGTCCCTCTGGGCATGCATGGTAGAACTAATAAAAAAGAAAAATATAGATCTAAAGCTCACAAAAGTCAAAGTACACTCAAATGATCTTTATAATGAAAAAGCAGATACCTTAGTTAAAGAAGTTCTAAAATTTCCACCAATTGAATGGAAATATCTTACCTCATATAAAATTATTACTGAAATCAAATGGCAAGAAGTGACTCTAGATAATTCAATTAGGCAGTTTATTAAGAACATTAATAGCAAGACAACAGCTTATCAGTGGATATAACAAAATAGAACTGAGAAAAAATGGAGTCAGCAGATTTCGTAATACCAGACTCATACATGGGACCTAGTATGAAAAAGAGTTAAAGATGGGCATACATGGGATACATCTTTTAAACAATCTTAACAAAGAAGCTTTCTAATTAAACTAATCAATGACGAGCTACCTATACTAAGTAAATTGGCAATAAGAAAACTAAACCTATACAAACAAGTGAGATGTATTGCATGTAGCCAACAAAATGAAATCATAAAACACTTGCTAGAATGTTCAGCCTATAAGAATCAACTAAAAAAGGTATGAAATAAAGGAGTAGATAGAATTATCAGAAACTTCAAAGAGCTACTAGGGAAAAGAAAGAAAGAGGCTAAAGAGAAAAATCCCAGGTTAATAATCAATAACAAAGAAGAGATAGGAGAGTTCAACAAGTGAATCTCTAAAGTAGTAGAACAGGCTTCCAAAACTAATTAGAACATATTAAGTTTCTGTACTGGTCTTATAAGAATAGATATTATTCTAGAAATGGTAAACCTAAAATGTCAAGGTAAACACATAAGAAAAATAGCAAGACAATGGATAATAAAAATACAAAGAAGAGTCTGTAATCAAGTTCGAAAAAAAGTCTGGAACAAGAGATGTAAAAAGGTAATTGAATGAAAAAAAACACAAGAAATTGATAGAGAGAACAAGATAAGAAAACCTTTATGTCTTTCAAGCCAGAAAACTGAATTCTTGAAAAAAAAAAGATCCATTATCCAAAGAAGGAAACCTTGAAGATGAAGGCCTCCAAGAAATTCTAACAAGAAGAGTGGATTATAGAATAAAATGTTTGGGTTTTAAGCTTTGTCAGAACATCGTAGAGTAATCTGCAGTAGTGACCTGTTGGCAATGAAGTTAACAGTTGAAAGGGTCTTTACCGGAACTATTAATAAAGCAATAAATCCCTTCCAAAGTTGCATTTAGAGTTTTAATTATTCTTTAAAATAGAGATAAGTGAGTTAGGTAGAGACTTAGTTTTAATGATACATTCTTTAATATAAAGTATACATATATTTAATAAAGCACACATACTTAGTCGACAGAAGGTTTTAAAAAAAAAAAATTATTAATAAAAAAAAAAGAAAAATTATTGATAAAACTTCCTTACCTTTTAAATGAAATGTAGTAGAAATAAAAAAACAATAAAATTATTAGAAAAGATACTAAATTTCTTAGGTAATATAAAGAAAATTATTTGTTTAAGTTGAGATTTTTAACTTTTTATTATTCTAATCAGGAAAATTATATAAAGAAGATTATTTTCTTATCTTAATAAAGTTATAAGACTAAAAAACAGAAGATTGTAAGTCTCTATTCTTTTCTAAAATTGAAAATACATTTCTTCAGATATTATAGAATGATATTATAATGAATGAAGATTTTTAATACTTGCTGAAACATTTTCATTATTACAAAGCAAAAGGATTGTTAAAGAATCTAATTTTTTGAACAATAAAAAAAATTTATTAATAAAAATTTTTTAACTAATTATAGCTACTGAAAAATATTCAGAATTATATAATATAATTAAAAGAATATATAAGAATTTAGATTTATTATAAATTATTAATTTATATAAGTAATATAAAATCAAAATCAAAAGAAAGAAAGTGTCAAGTAAAATATTTGATCTAAATGATGATAGGTATTTTAAATAGTTATAAAAAATAATCAAGATTATAGATAAATAAGTTTTTCAGATAGTTAGAAAGAAGAAAGATATTTCAGAAAAATTGGATTTAATGAGAAAAGATTTCTGGTAAAGATATTTTGAAAAATATCAAGTACTTTTATTTTTTTTTCATTTTTATTTTGTTTTTAGATATTACAATTATGTATTTTTGGATCTTTTTTTTTTTTATTTTTCTCTTTTTCTTTTATAATTTCTCAAAATTAATTTTTTGAAGAATAATTGATAGTAATAACCTGTTAGCAATGCTATGAAGTTAGGAGAATATCTATACAAAACTTATTACAGAACAAAATATTGTTTTCAAGGTCATACTTAAAGACTAAAGCTCTTTTGAAAATTAATTACTATTGATAAGTAAGTTAGTATGTGATTTTCATTGATCAATAAACATATAGTGCTGGTCTGGCCACGGGTTTAAAAATTTAAATTTAATAATATACTGTATATAAAAAAACAAGAAATTTTTTTTTTATTAATTATAACTCTTGATTATCATTACTACGTAAGCTTTAACAATTAATAATATAAATAGCATACCTTTGATCGTCGATATACTATATTATACTTTTGAATTTTTATTTTTGAAACATTACGTCATCTCCTTCTGACGTATGATAGATTTGTGTCCATGTTTCTGGCCTGTCAAATTTATACTCGTTATCTGAAGTACCCTTCGTAATAGCATAAAAATGCGATCCTGGTATTCTATCTTATCATTATCATCATGCATATATCATAAATCGGCCACGGGACGTTTTCGAATGTATGCAAGGAAGGGGTAGCTTTTATTTGATCCGTGTAACATGGACACGGACCTTCCTTTCACACAAAAGATTTCACCGAAGAATTCGAGAATACAAATTCCAAAACAATATTATGAATAATAAAAATATGTTTAATGGTTACACTTTATGAGGCACAATAACGGAATTGAAAAAGAATTGTTCAAAAAAAAAAAAAAAAAAGATTTTTAGAATGTTTACCGGAAATTATCATCTATATTTGCACATGGTAAGGATGTTGACTTTTTGCGATAGAAAAAACGTTTTTAAGGCATTTATTAAATCATGTGATTGAGAGAATATGCGAAATAGTGATAATAAGGTGGTTAAATTTAATAAATTGATTATGTCGCCTCTCTAAGAATTCCCTCCTTTTCCTCCAGTCCTAAGCGTATCTAGTGTTAGCCAAGGAGCCTCATAACTGAATAATCGAAGAAAGTGGAGGCAGTGCGTGCGAGTGTGGGGAACAAGAATTGTGTAATGTATGTACCCGATCTAAGTGGTGTGGGGTGCTTTTACTGGAATCTAAACGAGTGAAAAAAAAATATGGCATCACAAGAAAAACTTTGTATTGTATGCGCCAGAAGTTTCATCAAATTCAGGTTTACTTCCGGCCAAACAAAAATTACGTGAAGATCATTATGCAATTATTTGCTTCTAAAGAATATTGAATATGACCAAACCAAACTTCCTGATCGCCTGACCAGAGTTTCAGATAAACACGAGGGAGCTGAGATTAATGGTTGCGCATTAATCTCATGTCACATAGGGTGGAAAACACCCCACCAAAAAAATGTTTTCCGTTATTGTAACTTGTATGCGTTGTATGGAAACTTTTTTTCATGGTATTGAAAATCCAATATAAATAAGTCACTTCTCCTTTTTTTTCCCCTGAAAAAATTGGTGAATCTAAACTTTTTTTTTTTTAACTTGGATTATGTAAAACATTGGTCTTGTAATTTTTCTGTTCATAAATATACGTCAAAAATCGAATTCTCAATCATTCTTTTATCCTTTCCCTTTCATCTTTAAACGCATGCATGCATGTTAAATGTTCATTCTCTTGTCCTTCACTTTAATTCAAACTTTACAAGTTGACAATAATCTATGCATAATTATCCCACGAAAAACCTTGTCAAACTTATCCGAAAATCACAAGATTGAAATAGACTCGAAATAACATGCATTGCATAAATTTTAATCCACTTTCATTTCTATTAATGATTCCAATTTTGTATTCACGAAGACTAAACAAATAAATCAAATTTTCCTTTAACTATTTATATCACCTATTTTTTTTTTTTTTCATCATCATTTTACAGACCTTAACGATTTACGGTTAACCATAAACTTTTTCTATAGAAAAAGTTATACAACCATCAAAGAACTCAACTCATAAAAGTTACAATATTCCCACCTATCCTCACTAAACTTCTCGAATTCCTACACATACGAATATTTTCATTATTAAAAATACCATCCTAATATGCCAACTTCCAATTACTTAATAGCCCCCAAATCCCAATATCTGATGGGAATGGAGACAGACGACGAGACATGGGACGACATAGAGATTCCTATCTCAGGTTTAACCACGCAAGGCGAACTTGATGAAATGGCGATTGACAATGATGATGAAAAGAAGGAGAGTCGCACTTACCGCCATTGCATGATCAATAATGGTTGTTTACAATCTGAAGTCGAAAATATATTATGTGCCTCCATAAAGGATTCCATCGATGATGTGGGCGAGGTTACGCGAGTGCCATCAAAACTGTCGTCGTCACTTCCATCATCCGATTCTGCGGTAACGAAAATAAATAATTCCACTTCAAACGCATCGAAACATATCAAAACGGTAAAATCAATCTTTTGTGCATCCGGGTTGGCAAAATCTACGCTAAATGGTAACGAGGAATTCACCGGCACCATAACAAGATTAGGTGATGAATCGAAAAAGGTTGTAGATATGAATGACTGGGATAACGACATGGAAATACCCGAGGCTGGATTATCCCCAATTAACCTTATCCAAACACGTTCATTCGCTTCGAATAAACCCAATAAAATCGATAAAATTGTTATAAGTAATGGTGAGCATGAGTGTTTTGATAATTGGGACGAAGAATTTCAAAATTTTAATCAAGGTGAACCTTGTTTACCACAAAGCCGGAGTCAAAATATTGTGATCGAGAGAGTCGAAGAACCTAGTAAGATCTCTTCGTTGCTTACGAGCGAGAAAACTGTAGAAAGCTTTGATCAAGATTTCGATTTACTAGATGTGGATATCAATAAGCTCAATCTTTCGGCAGAAACATTAAAAGCGCATTCGAATGGCGGAGAGGGATGCGAAGATAACGTGGATTTTTTTGACTCGGAGAGTTCTGGTACAACGACTGAAGTACATTCTAGAAACTCCTCTATATTAAGTTCGCCTGTGAGCCCTTCGAGTAGATCTCAAAGTGAAGATGAAGGATTTGATGACATTCAATTTCCCGAATCCATGGATTCCCTTAGACTTCATCCGCACACTCTCTCGACATGTCAAAATTCATCTCGAACAGGAACGAAGGCTGCAAATTCTAATTCTTGGAATATGAACATCAAAACCCATCGGTCTTTTGACGACGATAGTGACGATTGGTCCGGACTGGAAGTACAAGATGACAATATCTTTGAATCGGAAAATATAAAACATAAAAATATCGTCTTTCGAACTGTTCCCGTACAACAGAAGAGACCAAGAAGAGAATCATTCACCATTAAGTTTACACCACCTTCATCGATGCAACTGGCCACCGAGAATTCTCCAAATTTCGCTTTGGATTCTCCTCAAATATGTTCTTCGTCCATGGTCATTGGTGACCCTCAATCGCCAGATTCCTCTTCAATAAGTCCTATCACAATCGATAACGATAATTTCAGTAACGAGCTAGATAGTCGTGATATAACCTCTTCACCAAATGGATTTACGACAAAAAAATTGATGGCGCAAAAGGATTCAACAGGATCAACTGCATTGGTTTCTAAAAGAGTGACATCTCGTCCAAAAAGAGAAGCTGTTGTATCGGCAAAAACTTCTTCCGCAACTTCTTCCTTGCAAGGATACAAAGCGAACGTCACTCCATCTAAAAACGACACCTTACTAAAAGTATCTGGGATTTCTTCGAAACCCAAGGAAAAAGGAAAATCTTCAATGACGCCAAGTAAAAAAAGCTTATTGAAAAAAACAAATTCTAGTATTAATGCTACCATTCGTAGTACGAAGGAGAATCTCAGCTCGCCAAACGTAAATCACAAGAAATCTTTGAGTATATGTAGTAGATCCACGTGCAGCGATTCATCTGAAAAATCTGCAATTTTGAATTTTTCGTTAAAGTCCTCAACGAAAAATTCAAAGATATTATCGTCACCATCTTCATCTGCAAATAAGAAATCTTCTGGTTTGACGTCCACAGGATCTTTATCTGTCACCAAAAATAATGCCGTTAATGGTAAAACATCTCAACCTCGCTCAAAATCTTCTCCAACCACCAATGCTATTTCCCAGAAAATTACCAAAAGTCAGCCAGATGCTCAATTTTTTGGTAATTCTAATGGGGGTTCACCATTAATTTATAAACAAATCAAATCAAAGAATTATGGTGATGGCACGGAATTAGATAAGTTTGACGATTTGCCCATATGTTTGGAAAAGGAGAGAGATTTTAAGGCTCATCCTACATCACCCGTGTTAAATGCGACAAATACTAACGACGATAATGGTGTGTATATACAATTGACAACATAATTAACGTACTTGCACTGGATTTTCTATTCACCACCTTTCATAATTTTTTCTAAATATTAAAGAATCGGTATTTCAAAACTTATCAAATTTAAATGACCGGAAGGGCAGTGTTTCTTCATCGTGTTCAAAGACATCTATAAGTTCATCTATAAGAAAGGTAAAGAATGAAGTATTTTTTTCGTTTAATATCATTCCTATATTTACATAATATTTGATGCTAGAAGAATAAACGGAAGAAGCCACAGCTGATACGTAATTTGAATTCCGAAAAGAGTATAAAAGGTTAGTGTTTTTCGCGATAAACTTATTCTTGAGTATTTGAAAAATTCTCACATCTGTCTTGGATTTGTGATGCAGTAATCGACGAAATGGTTTATGACCCGATTTCGCAAAGGTGGGATGGTAATGAATTGGTGCTTAAAGATTTTGAACCATCATCTACTCGCCTAGGCCTCATCACAAATATGAGTCCTTCAACCAACACGAAGTCCCTACAAGGTGATTATGATATGGTTTTCGATACAAAGAAAATGTGTTGGTTCCGCAAGGGTGAAGAAGAAGAGTGCTTGTCGTTATTCGACTTCGAATCTGATTGCGACGAAGATAATGCATTAATTAAACATCCCACAGTCGGTGGATTCGCAATGGACGGGTGCGGCGGATACGATAATAATGAGTTGACTCTCTCGCCACAAGCATTTAGTGACAACGAAAACTTGATAACAAGTAAAAAGGGGCGAAGACAAATATTGGACAGAAATGCAAGCAATAGCGGTGAGACCGGAGGCATGGAGTCTGGTGGCAATGAATTTCAGGTTGGTTCGGAATTCGAGATGTCAAAAGGATTCCTCAAATCCTTGATGGCATCGGAAAGGCAACATCGGAAAGAGATGAATCATTGGTACCCAGCCATCAGAAGTATTAGCAATGAACAAAGATTCGGGTTGAAGGATAATAGTTTTCAAAAAGGATTTCTGTATGAGATTAGGAAATCCAATATGGTATGTACTTTATTACAAAATTTCAGGCAATTATTAAATAAATAAACCCCTTTAAATTTTTACGCCTTTCAAAATTGTTACAGGAAAATCGAATTAATATAATAAAAAAACACCAAAAGGGCGGCGGTCTTAACAATTTCTATTCCTCGTTTCGCGAAAAATCAGCCTCGCCGAGGTGTAATGAGCGTCCACATTTCAGATGAGGATGTGATAAATTTAATTCCCCATTAATTTATGATAATTACTACTTTTGTATATACAGCAATTCAAATTTCCTCACCATCCCATTCACCATTCCACATTCTTCGCTGAGCTCAGCGTAAACCGTCAAGCATTCGACCAGTTCACCTAAGCTTACTTAACATGCCATTCTATGGTTAAAAAATATTTGATTCCCATGCGTATTGACTACGTGAATTTTTAATATTTGACAAAACATAATCAAGAATTTACACCCTTTAACTATGTCTTTCTTGCTTTGCCGACACCCGGAAATCATGAACATATTCACAAATTCATTCATACACACAAACCACACATACGCACAATCTACTTCTTCACCTAGAAACCATTTCTATGATTCTACTCATTATGATTATTTTTTCCAAGATTTTGAATACTGATTTTCATATGGCTTCGACATCACCTTTAATTATATTCGAACTCAAATTGTCATTGAAATCTTAAATTTCAAGCATCTCAATAACACATTCACCTATCCATTTTTGTAAATAATTCATTGTCTAACTCATTTCTTTTTTTTCGAATACTTTTTTTATATAAATATATAATTTTTTTGCATTCACTAACTATTTTATTTGTATTTATTTTATAATTATTGTAGTTATTATTAAAAATCGGGATTTATTTTTATTATTACTGTATTTCAACGCTTTAAATTTTCTCTTGTTTAGGTTTCAAAGTTGGAACTATCTATTTTAATAATTCTTATTTGTATTTTACAATATTATGTCAATATTTAAACTTATAATAAATAAATAATTTTATTAATCTGTTTTTTAAATAAATATTAATATAACTTGTTTTTTATTGTATATAAAGTATTATTTACAATTTAAATAAGTTTTACTTGTTAATTTACTTATTATTAAAACTTGATCTATTTTAAATACAACTTAATAAATAATATTTTGATTTCTTTATGATTTGAATTATTTTTTAATCATAAAGTTTCTTACTTATAGATTATTATTATAAATTTCTTAAAATTATATCAAACAAATTAAAAATCCAATTATTTTTTATTTTTTATTATTTATTTTTCAATAATTTCTTTTATATATTTATTATTTTTAAACTATTTTATTTTTATTTTTTCAATTATAACACTATTATTTTTTTTTTAAATCTACCTTTTTATTAGAAATCTTATTTTTTAAAACTTATATCTTTTAATTTTCTAAGTTATATTTAATATTCTTTTTTATTTAATTATAGTTGAATTATATATATAATAAAATTAATTTTTAAAAATTTCAAAAAGTAAAGCTATAATAAAATTATTATATATGATTATTTTCAAAAGTTTAAGGGATTTTTTGACCACATATAAAAAAAATACTTGCAAGAAGTTTTTATACTTTCTTATTAATAAAAGTCTTAACACTTTTCTTAAAACAACTTGAAGTATTACTTCAAGAGTCATTATTACCCTTTCCTTATTGTCTACAAATCTTTTTACTCAAAAATTTAACTTTAAGTAATCAAAAAAAGTCAAGTAACACCTTTAATATCATTGGTAAAAAAGTTCTTAAAGAAAGAAGAACTGATTATAAAGTACCTGAAGACCTTTTTAATCTTTGAAGCAAGAGATTTATAAGAATTTGTTGCAGTCAAAAGACTTATTTTCTTCCTTTTGAACTGTTTTAGTCCTCCTAAAGCTTTCACTTTCATGGTTTTCTAAGAAATTTTGTTTATTTCAGTTTGATCTTAAATTTTAAATAGCACAAATTCTTATCAAATATAATTGGCTGATATGAAACACATTAGTTTTTAAAATATAAACATGCTCTTATTGACTATATACACATATCTCATTATATCATTGATAATATAAAAAAAAAAATTCTAGAAAAGTGTTTTCTCCAACTATATATGTTCAACTTCTAGAAAACAATTATGATATCGAAAAGTAAATAATAGATAGGTAAATAGATCTGACTTTCATCTCTCATTAAATTCTTCAAGTAGTGAAAAAACTTTTTAAACAAAAGCTGAAATCTCCAAACTTTTATTCCAGTTAGATAAAATTCTTGAAAAAATTTTTTTATCTTAGTTAAGCAAACTCTTTCATAATATGGTGCTGACTCAAGTAATAATAAATAAATTTGTACATTAGTAGAAGAATAAGTTTCTTAAATGTTCTTCTTGAAGTTATTTTTAGAAATGATTAAGTTTCTCAAATGTCATAAAATTTGGAGAATATTTCAATTAGGTAAACTCTTTTGAGAGGAAACTGTAAAATGAAACAAGAACCTTTTGAAGGGCTTTGAATTGTATTTTCTTTTTTCCCTTTTTCCAGTACCATACTTTAGTAATTAATTATTTTTTAAGATAATATATAGTGACAAACTATTGGCAATGATCCTGATTAACTTAGAAGTACTATGCCAAACTACTAGGAGAGTATAATATTGTCCTTTAAATCTAACTTAGAGTATCTAGTTTAGATTTAGTTTTATTTAGTCTAAACTAACTTAGTGGACTCCATATATTTTTTAAATAATATAGTTTTTTAACTAATAATATACAATGACAAGTTAGTTGTTTTGTAAAAAGTTTGTAAAATATTTTGTTATCTCTCAATATTTCAATAAAAATATATCAAAGTGACATGATTATAGATTAAAAAAAAAAAAAAATTTCAAAAGTTTGAATCTGCTTATTATGTTTTTATTATAAATTTCAACTTTGCCAATTTTTAAATAATTAATTATATAGTCAAAAATTATAAAATTTATATATATCTATTTTTTGTTTTTTTATATGGGCTCATGCCTGACTTTATTAGATTCTAAATTATATATATACACTACTTGGACAAAAGTATCACACGTCATTTATTTATTAATTACACAAAATTTTACATAATAATTCTATTTAA